AGTGAGCACATGTTGATTACTAGTATAGGGGTTGTGGAGATTATTAAGTTTTTGATTGAGATATGGAAGATCCACCTAGGAGAGTTGGAAAACCCTGATTACAAACTAATGGTGCACATGGGCTCCAGTATCCTGACGGAACAAATGGAGTATGAACCAATTATTGATCACCGGCTACCATGTGACTGCATCTTCTGACGTTGCTCCACTACCTTGTGGATCAGTTCTTTAAGTCGAAGGCTCCGGGTGTGGCTCCTTAAGAAAACCACCTGCTTCGGTCTGGTCACTTGGGCAGTATCACAGCCCACACACAAATCGAATGATTTATGTGGCGCATATCCATTTGGTGCCTCCTTGTACCAATATTTGTGTTCAAATAAATAAATAAACAAACATACAACTTCGTCGTCAACGCTAACACCTTAACAGTACAGAGGTAACTTATCTAAAACCACTTGAAAAAAACCATGTTACCGGTAGTTATCTCTTTGGCACAACGGCTACGCTCCCAAATGATAAAGAGTACTTCCGATTCAGTTGCCTTTTCAGGTTTCTTATAGTGTTACATTTTATTCATATAGACCATACATCTATCTTTTTGAGTAGTGTTAAGAGGATATCTGAGGAGCGCTTGACGGTAAAGTGTATAACTGAAGTATGATTGACTATTTTGTATCCACTCTTATAAATGATTGTGAACTTTGAACAGCGATGCTCATGGATGGTTTTGTGTTTTTTGATGATCTCGTCGCATTAGCTATAGATATTATGGTTTGGTTCAAGGTATTGTTGAATATATGTATACTTGGCTTTCATTTAATTCGTTTATCCAACTTATCGGTTGTCTACCTGCTCCCTATTACAACGAAGGCAAACACAATACCAAAGGTGTTTAAACCGATCAAACTAATCTAGGTAATTTAGTAATGAGGAGTAAGCTACTATTCCATCCAATCATCTTTTGGAAGAATATTCCAGAATTATTACGTGTAGCTTCCTTATTGGACAAATGCTAATAACCCCCTGTATGCGGATTAGAGGACTATGATGATGATTTCGTTTTTTTTTCTAAGAACTTTAAATACCTGAGAGTTTTGTACCATAATTGACATTTGGTTAATAAAGAAGAAGCGAATTGAGCGAAGAAATTTCTTTTCAATTAGTTTTTCATCAAGGCTCTACACTAATATATATATATACATATGATTTACAATAATGATATAATAGTCATCGAGTGGATACGTTACGTACTAATTACATAATGACATTTAAATTAACTATTTTGCATACTTTTTCCACTTGTTTTTTGTTTGATTTTTTTACTTTTGTAATTTTGTTTCTGTTACTTTTGAACTTTATAACTTCTCAACATTTATCTCTTGATTCTTACGCAACTACTATTCTATTGACCATCCATTAAAAAATTCTGTTCTTTCTCTCTTTTTCATATAATACGCAACATAGCAACGTCTTGATTTTGAATAATTACTTTGATTATTAATAATCCTCTTTCTTCCAATTACTCAGTGTTAATTTAAATGTCATTATGTAATTAGTACGTAACGTATCCACTCGATGACTATTATATCATTATTGTAAATCATATATATATATATATATATATATATATATATATATATATATATATATATATATATATATATATATATATATATATATATATATTAGTGTAGAGCCTTGATGAAAAACTAATTGAAAAGAAATTTCTTCGCTCAATTCGCTTCTTCTTTATTTACCAAATGGCAAAATGGGAATTTTCACTATAATTGACACTGTTTGGAATAACATTCCTTTCACTTGTTTTCTGTTTTCTCATTTGCGACTTGGGAGTGTTCACGAGTCCGAGTGCTCAAGTCATAAGCAGTATATTAAGAATCTAAGCTCTAGATATAACCGAAACATATTGAGGATCCTAGCATGGTCATCAACTTGACCTCAACTAGCTGGTATAGAGAGCCAACGCGAATTATTTCACGTGCATTTGCGGACGCGACATTAAATTCTCGTGATCTTGCCGGTATATATGTGGCACTAAGTTTGAAAGATAAACAGATACTTTTTGATTAGATCCCTACTGGCAGCCGCTTATATCCGGTCTGTCTCATTGGAATAGTAAGAAGTCTGTAAGATAGATATACACATTCCACTTCTACCTAAAGCCCTACTAACTGCGGCTCCGATGGAAACGAGTTTTACAGGAAACTACATAATCTGCTTCAGAAAAAAAAACAGGAGCTCAGGAGTGATAATCTCAACAAGTGATTTTAACATTTAAAGTGATAAATTGTGTCAGACTGAAAAATACTTAGGTGAGTTTTATGGCATCCCAGCTCCCCATACGATAACGATAACTGTGTAGGCTGCAGGTTTTTGATCATAGCTAACCTCTAAACACTGTTCGTGTTTTATGAAGTGAATGATGATGAAGTTAGTTATAGGTACTAGGCAAATAGATTTGTGAAGTTGTAAATCTTCATTGACTGAGAAATTTAGGGTATGTCTAACCACCGCCTCGCTCGATGAGCGATGTTTAGTGGTGTAGGAGTAGGTTGAAAGAAAACTATGGATAGCCAAATCAAGAGATTTCATCAGTCCATGAGGTCAATTAATTTTGGCTTGATCCGTTTTTGTAGGTGCAGACTACCTGTTTGATGTCCATGCAATAACCCCTGTCAATGGTTCGAAATTGTTCACAACGAAGCAGATGTATTCACCCCTAATCGTCCTCTTGATCTTGAATTCTAGTACTCAATCATACACAACACCTCTCTGCCTTTCCTTTCTGTTCTATATTCCTAATGTCCAGTCACTCCTAATATCATTCTTCCTATATTATTTTGATCTCTTTTGGTATTCATCTTACTTCCATCTCGTCGTGCTAATATGGTAACTTGGGGAAATACACACTTTCCCCAGATTGTACGTTGATAATGGCTATCTGTTGAAATTTGCGTAGACTGACAAGCCTTCAAGAAAGACATGTTTAAGTAATAGTTTACCCATTTTCCAAACCATAATTAGTAAATAATTTCACCATATGTTTAACGATGATATAAATATCCTTTATCGTAATTCCACTCAGTTTTCCATGTAGTTACGTTGACGGTAAAAAAAGTTAATATTGCACCATCAGTCTGAAAGTAAACAGAATAGGCAGCTCCTTAGCTAACTTGATGTGGTGGTCGGGCTTGCCTATCGTGGTGAACCAATCGAGTTATACTGGCTGGAACAATCGTTCATCAAGGTCCTACCATGCCAGACAGGTCAATTAAAGAACGGTAAGATTAAAAGCAGCAAACAAAGGTCCGAAGGCGAAGTCGTACTGCTGACTATACAAAGGTTTGACGGCAATAAGCTGTCTCCCTCAGAAAACCAGCATAACAACGATGCTGCCTTCGCACAAGGAGGGGTAGGGTTAGAAAAGGTCGACCCTAAAAATGCACATCTCGCCTTATCCCACGGATATCCGTCTTCAGCTGTAAGGTCTCAACAAGTACGGAGCTAACGCGAAAATTACCCATAAAAAGGTCGTGCGTAACTGACCTAAAGCAGTTTTCCCTTGGACACTGCGGTCACGCTTTCAGGTCACTAAGACGACCTTTAATCTAATTTCCTCTTCGGGTACTTCCAGAAGAACCCTTCCACTGTGTGGAAGTGATTACCGCCCCCATACCTTTACCAGCACTCAAGACCACAGATTCATTAGCAATAGATAACAAAAATGAACATTGATGCAAATCACTATATGACGACGTTTATTATTGACCTTGTAGCAAGCCCATTCAACTATTGTATCATTTGTCTACTCACTGTAATTCACACACTCAATTCACTATGTTAATTTCTGTGTGTGTATGATTGAGCGCGTGTTTGCACATCAATCTGAATCTATTCTCCTATCGGTTGTAACATACACATAATCAATAATTTATCCACACTTCATTCACACTCAAAAATATATATGGATTTTTAACACACACACACACACACAGAGAGACAGAGAGAGTCACACGCACACACACTGTGGTGGTTTCACAGTGTGCTTGCTCGCTGTACGCTTGTGGATTTTATTTATCTTTAACAATAAAATAAAATATCTCTACAACTGGTGTTCAGGCTTCTGAATAATCTCGAGTAAATCCATAATTGTACTAGGAGATTTAGCCTACGTTAAATACTCAGTTAACGGGATATCATTTATTGCAGTCAGATATAGAGGAAATTAGCCTGAACACTGGCTCAGCTATCGATCGTTACAAGAGTCAAGGGTGTGTCGACTGGCTGGAGAACCGGCATCTCGAGGTCACATGTTTCGATGTTGATGACTCGTGGGTGGTTGGTCGAGCCACATTCACACTCGTTCCATCGTGATGCTGGCTGCTGTAGCAGGCCCATTCAACTATTGTATCATTTGTCTACTCACTGTTATTCACACACTCAATTCACTATGTTAATTTCTGTGTGTGTATGATTGAGCGCGTGTTTGCACATCAATCTGAATCTATTCTCCTATCGGTTGTAACATACACATAATCAATAATTTATCCACACTTCATTCACACTCAAAAATATATATGGATTTTTAACACACACACACACACACACACGGAGAGACAGAGAGAGAGACAGAGAGAGTCACACGCACACACACTGTGGTGGTTTCACAGTGTGCTTGCTCGCTGTACGCTTGTGGATTTTATTTATCTTTAACAATAAAATAAAATATCTCTACAACTGGTGTTCAGGCTTCTGAATAATCTCGAGTAAATCCATAATTGTACTAGGAGATTTAGCCTACGTTAAATACTCAGTTAACGGGATATCATTTATTGGAGTGAGATATAGAGGAAATTAGCTTCAGCAACCTTAATAGGATAGGTGTATTACCTAACCTATAAAATCATGTAATGTAAAATCTAGAGTAATTATTAATAGAGAAAGAAATTTCAACGGTTAAATTAGGGAGAATATCTACTTACCCAAATATTGTGTAAGTGCGAACGGTACCGGTGCTTTATTATATCCTGTATGAGGATCAGACAAGTTTGAGTCACTCAGTTGGGTTGCACTGCTTTCTGTATACACATCCACAGGTTGGTAATGACATGTGTATGTAGGAAGTCTTTTGTCATTCAATCCAAACTGAGTTGGTGTTAGCTGGGATTGCACATGTGTTACAGTGTAATCGTGTAAAACATTCATATTGTGACTTAATTTATCACGTGAATATCTACGTGTATACTTTAATTTATTGTTATTCGTTTTGTAAGAATTAGAATGCACTGATGGGGATTTATTATGGTTCCCCGAATCCATGAATTGATTTTGCATTCGTTTTCGCAAGGCTATTGTTCGATTGTTTGAATTTTTAAAATTTGTAACATTTAATGATGACGAATCATCACTTAACATTTGTCGACATTTACGAAGTATACGACGATTAGCTACGCTATTAGGATGGTCCTTATTTATGACATTAGTGTCGCTTCTATCATTGGAGTTTTCAGGACTACTTAGTCTATTGGACGTGTTATCACCATTACACGGAGGTTTGATTTTAACACTGAATGGGTGGTTTTGACCACTTGGTGAATTAGATATTTTGAATTTAATACGTATATGAAAAGAATCCTCATGTTCATCTGTAAGAAAAAAAAGTGAAAAATAAAACTGGTCACAAGTTACTAACCGATATGGTGTTTAAATCTCCAAAGCCTATCAAAAATTGATAGGCCGAATTAACCGCATATGTGCGTTAGTGTGATATTTACAGTTATTTTCTTAAAATTATTAAATATTTAGCTTAGGTCTTATGCTTTGATTAAACTGAAACCCACGCAGCAATTCAGCTTAAGCATTACTAAATGTTCATTCTTCTATGAGTTGTTTGTAAACTTGCTCAGATGCTTTGATCGAACGAGATATATATCCTATTGTGAACCAACGCTATTTGGAGAAACATTAGAAACAGGTGGACAGTGAATGAGTAAAACATCTGATATTTACACAAAAATCATCCGTATCAATCCACAAGTTGGTTATCTCCCCTTATATGGACAAACATGCATATACCTAAACACAACCAAGTACATCCAATATCAAATTGGCATCGTAAGTAACTACAATCAAAACTACACAGATAGCGCATTAATAGCACTAATAAGCAAGATATACAATTTACGTATCCTAGTTTCATTCAGAAACTCCAACTATCTAACATCATGTACAACAATATAAATGAGCTGTTACTGACGTGCATTGCACCGTTTATAGCTCCATGTCGAATATTCAAAAACCACAGTTCCGTTTGTTCTTTCATTCTTATCTACTCCAAAAGACAATCTTGAATCGGAAAGTTATTTTATGATTCTGAAGGAGATATTTAGTAAAGCGGAGTGGCTGGAATTGACTATATGCTTTTAGACTGAGATATTAGTGACTGACTTCTGTAATCATTTGGGTAGCCAAGTAGGATAATGTTCGGAGATGCGTTTTGAAAGAGTTCGCTTTGTGAGGTCAATATAACCTGATCCACGTGAGCAACTAAACTGATAGATGCACATTGATTTGGTCCAAAGCGGGCGCTTATCTTCAACATAACTCCGGATCATAGGCCGACTAAAAAATATAATGCGAAGTTCAAACGAGTAGTACGTTTTCCTCAGAGATCTTGAAAGTCTGTTTTTCAGAACTTCTGCTACAATGCCTCCTTTAAACTGAATCATCATGAAGAGAGTGTTCTTTGGTGCTACGGACATTCCTTTACGTTGTTTTGGCTTCAGTTTTTTCAATGAACCAGTGTCTGCCGTAGTTTATCAAGTTCGTTATCGTTTGTATCCTCGTTACAGATGCGTCTAGCCAGAAGTTTCCTTCAGAATTATAAATATAGTCAAAAGAGTTGGCTCAATAGGAGTGTAAATGGGAAACTTATGTACAGAAGAGGCTATTGCTATCCACCAGTTTAAGCCTCACCTTAGTTTACAAAAACAGTATGTTCAATCCCTCATTCTTCCATGACCATAACCTCCCTTTCTATGTCCCAGAATCTGTCGTTTTTTCATTTATTTTATCACTTCTACTCCTTTCCAATGGTTTTCACAACTACTTATTAATAATTATTATATTTAGTAATTATGTTCATAAAAACTATGAAGTGGATAATTATTTCACCTTACCAAATATTACATAATTTCCTTTCAATATCTGATTTTCAATTCTTGACAACATGCAACTTCAACTTCTTTAATTAATTGGCACCTTTCTGTCTCACTATAGAACACTATTTTAGCAAATGAAATCGACTATAAATACGACTGTACAGCTTAAGTAAATGAAGTCGTCGAAAAAATCTTTACTGAATTGCCTCCCTTCTTCCATGACGCAATGGATCTCATTCGTTATTTAAAAACATGCAAGGATCCCGTGACAGTAAAAGAACTTAACGGGTTTCTAAGATTTTCTGTTAAGCTTGCTGTAACGTATGCTGGTATCACATTTTTAAAAAAGCTGTATAGACAAACGAGAATGTACAAGACCATACTGAAAATCATTTCGTCGAAGCCATATCCGATCAAACCATCGTTCTCTACAGTCAGTCAGTAACAACGTAGAACTTCGTACGTACGTACATCAGTTCGAGTTGCCACACCATCGTTCTCTTAAACGTCTTGCATTAAATAATATTAATGAAATCAACTCAAGATTACCAGAAGTCGAACGAGATATTTCATTGAGAACATATCTGTTATATGAACTAACAGAAGGTGAACGTAACGCATTTGAAAAACACATACATACAGTATTGAAGAAACGCTCAGAGGATATGAATGTGAAGTTGATGAGAAATCTAAAACCAACGAAAGTGCACGCTTCTTTTCTAGAAATTCCTGAGAAATACGTCTTTAACTACTCTAATAACACTATCCACAACGCAATTACAAGCACCGTCGCTAGGTCCGAAATTCTGCGATGGTTCTATAAATGCCAGTGAGCTTAGCACAAAAATTCAATTTAAAAGCCTGATCCATCAGACAAAAGACCTTGTCCCTGTATCCAACAAAGAACTCGAACAACTTAAAACCAATTGTAAATTGTTTTAATCAATATACCAATAAAAGGGCGACAAGTGATCGACTATATTTCAAATATATTCTGTATTCTTCCTGATATTAACAACAAAGGAAAAGTTCAAAAGGATACTTCAGATCAAAGTGAGCAGAAATCGACTAAAATCATTAAGAAGACGAAAGATGAATCGATTATCAGTGAGCATCTCTATAGAAAAGTTGGACCAACTGGATCCATTATACCACGATTATATGGCCTACCTAAATTACATAAGAAATATACCCCATTACTTCCTATACTAGATATGAATAACTTGCCATATCACGCTGTCGCCAAATGGCTAGCAGAAATTCTACGACCATTCAGAAATCAACTCAGTCGATACTTTACTGCTCGTTCGTTTGATCTTGTTGATTCAGTATTGAGTGTTAACGTAACCGGAAAGTGGATAACGTCACTTTTTACATATGTACCTCTAAGGGAAACAATCTAACTACTATGTGATTATATTGAAAGTAACAAACCCGATGTTGGTGTTCTAATTACAGCCTCTGCCAGGGAAGTCGTACGTACTGCCTCCTCGTGGTGGGGGTGTTGTTTACGAAAATGAAAGGACGAAAAGCGAATGTCCGGCGCTTTAACCGGATTCCAAACCAATCGTGCACATGGGCTCCAGTATCCTGAGGAAACCAATAGCGTATGAACCAATCGTTGGTCATCGGCTACCATGGGACTGCATCTCCTCACGATATCCCACTGCCTTGTGGTCAGACCTTTAGATTAAAGGCTCGGGGTGTGGCCCCCTAAGAAAACCACCTGCTTCGGTCTCGGCACCCGGACAGTATCAAAGCCCACAAACAAATAGGATGAAAGGACGATACTTACGGAAAATACTATTCTTGATTCGATTAACAGCCAAACGATTCACATTATTATTATTATTTACTACATCACTTATTCACTCTCTTTTATTCCCACTTTGTGTATCCTTATTTTTCGACTTATACAGCACCTCGCCTATGGTGAGAACTCGGATCTATCTATATGTTCTCGAGTCACTGCCTGGTTAAAAATTGTATGCTACCACCAAATACGAATACTGAAGCAGTTTTTCTGAAACCACGTGCACCATTCAAACTGGCTGCCTTCAACGTTCGCACACTAATACAGGTCGGACAACAGATAGGGTTGGCTATGTCTTTGGAAAGTCTTAATATCGACGTTTGTTGTCTATCCGAGACCCGTATTCAAACTCTGGTGAAGTACTACAAATTCGCTCTCCATCCGTCGCTTCAAAATGGTTGTTTTACATGCGTTTATCCAGGGACCCTGTTGCATCTTCGTCTGGTCTTGCTGGCGTTGGTGTCGCACTAAGCGCTAGAGCTGAGGCAGCACTAATCGATTGGATCCCCATTAACAGTCAGTTATTGTAGCGCGGTGCGTGCTGCTTATATTGATATAAGCAGTATGTAACGTGAGTTAAAGAACGCAATGTCTGGCAGCAGATGGGGAAGATCAAGAAAGGAAGAGCGAGAACACCGTGGAATTTGTAAGAAACCGCATGAAAAATCAAACGTGAGACAATGGGTTAATGTTTGCAACGGCAACATTTCGGTTTGATATGATGGAATGATAATTTACAAATTAACGATTTACTATTTGCTTTTTCTATTTTACCAAGTAACTCTGTAATTTTGTGATAAATACATCCGGTTTTCCCCACCCATGTTCTGTTCACTACAGTAGTACTAGCCGGAGACTTGAATGCTCAGGTCGGGAGTCTGGACACAGAAGAGAGTCGTTTAGGTGGCCGATGGGGACTTGTTGGTCGCAGGACAGATAACGGGGACCGTCTACTGCGACTGTGCACAGACCACAACCTGTTTCTGGCTAGCACTAACTTCCGACACAGTCATCGCCGATGTGCCACCTGGCGACCTCCCTCTGCATCTCAAGCCTGGACTCAGATTGACCACATCGCAATCAGCTACCGCTGGCGTGGTTGTGTACAAGACTACTGCTCCTTTTGGAGTACCTATCTGGACTCTGGTCATGCCCTGTTCTGCACCAATCTTACCTTACTTTTCAGTGGACAACGAAGTGACCGCCACCAAAGGATTGATGTCAGCATGTTGGTCTCAACTTCTGTTGCAAGTAAGTATCGAATCGAGCTAGCTTCTAGGCTAGCTACCATTCCACCGAAAAGTATAGATGAGCATTGGTTGCAACTGCGTGATGCCATGAAAATGGCGGGTACAGTCAGTTGTGGGTTTGCGAAACGTCCCGCTTATAAGCACTGGGTTTCTTCAGGCTCCTTACAACTCATTGAATCCCGTCGGTCTACTCCGGGTGACCGTGAGTTTGACCACAAACGAAGGCTGTTACGTGATGAAATCGGGCAAAGCTTGCGTAAGGACCGAGAAGCCTGGTGGTCGATGCGTGCTAATGAGCTGGAAGCAGCAGCTGCATCTGGTAACTACCGGAAGCTCTTCCAACTCATCCGAGCCACTGCCTTCGATTCGTTGGACAGGACTGTTCTCTGGGATTGTCTATTGAAGAAGGGTGTGCCTGAGAAGTTTATTAACATCCTAAAGGCCCAAGCCATGCAATCCGCACTTAATGAGTTGGCAATCAGTGTCCGTAGGTATGGTATGTGCATTGCACCTTCGAAGTGCAAAGTACTTCTACAAGACTGGCAGGATTCCAATCCTGTACTCACCCTGAATGGTGAGCAGATAGACGTAGTCGAGAAGTTCGTGTATCTGGGTAGCTACATAAGTGCTGGTGGTGGTGTGAGTGATGAGATCAATGTACGTATAGTGAAAGCCAGAGCGGCTTATGCCAATCTGGGCCACCTTTGGCGCCTTCGTGATGTTAGTCTGGCTGTAAAAGGCCGGATCTACAACACGTCGGTGAGAGCAGTTTTGCTCTATGCTTGTGAAACCTGGCCTCTCCGAGTTGAGGACGTTAGACGACTCTCTGTGTTCGATCATCGCTGTCTCCGAAGGATTGCTGACATTCAGTGGCAACACCATTTCAGTAATGCAGAGGTTCGGCATCGTGTGTTCGGGCACAGCGATAATAATTCAATTGGTGTCACCATCTTGAAACACCGACTTCGGTGGCTCGGACATGTTCTACGAATGTCGTCCCAGAGAATTCCACGTCGTGTATTATTTGCGGACGCTGGAACTGGTTGGGAAAAGCGGAGAGGTGGTCAGTGCATGACATGGTGTCGTGGTATGAAAGGAAGCTGCAAGGGACTGGCTTGTGTTGGTCCTTCACGACTCTCTGGTTGGGGTCCTAGAGATGGCGCGGCACAGTGGCTAGAGACGTTATCAGATATGGCTCAGAATGGAAGCCAGTGGCGATCGTGCTGTAACCTTATTTTACTTTCTTCATAAAAAGTGGTTGTATCTTCTTTACCTGAAAGATTTCTTCCGATTGTACTTTTCCGTTTCCCCCATCATTACGATTATTATTACACTACCTTACACTAATCTGTTAGTTAGTTCTTTTTTTTTGTATGGCGCAATATATATATATATATATATATATATATATATATATATATATGGTGCCCTCTTGTACCAATCTTTATCTGCTGATATAAATAAATAAATCAACTATTCATTAAAGAACTAGACTTCCAAACTCTGTTGTGGAGGAGAGTTTTCTTCAACTTGATCAGATGAATTTCGATTGTTAATATCAATGAGTAGAATGATAATCGATAGATGGACGCAATGATATAGTGTAACAGAGTGATGGCTACAGCACAATTGACATGGGCCCCGTATTATTAGAAACCAGCGACAATGTCACTAACTCGATGGATAGGTTTTTTTATGTAATAAAATGACACAAAATGAAGAAAATAAAATGTCATATACTACTGGAGAAAATTGGCTTGCAAGTCACTAATTTTCTGACCAATAAAGAGTTGACTGTTAGACTTAGCTTCTTTTCTATCTTGCCATTCTAATCATTTTGTGTGGCGCATATATTTTTATGCCCCTTGTATCAATATTTATGTTTTCAAATAAAAGATAAATAAATAATATGATGCACTCGCGGCGTCCAGTCTAAATTTAACAATGGATTGTTTAGACAAACTGACGCTGTAACAGTGGGGTCGCCACTCTACGCACTTCCAGCTGACTTTTTCATTCCTAAACTCGAAAACACTATGGTTAATAATTGACGGCTTCCATCTGTACAAGATATACTTAGAGGTCACTTTCATTGTTTGTGACAAAAATATCAACGTCAGCGACATCCTGGCCGCGTTCGATAACTCATCAGTCAAATAAGTTCATGATGGTACTAGAGTCAGATTTAGAATTCCTACTTATTAAATGTTTTGGTAAAAATGAAACTTGACGGTTCCCTACAATGACCGATATGTGGTGTGGTCAATACACGGATTTCCAATGCTGGGTTACATTGAAGCAAAAGAGAAACCTGGTATATTTTCTCTGTTCGAGGGCTAGACGCATCTGTAACGAGGATACAAACGATAACGAACTTGATAAACTACGGCAGACACTGGTTCATTGAAAAAACTGAAGCCAAAACAACGTAAAGGAATGTCCGTAGCACCAAAGAACACTCTCTTCATGATGATTCAGTTTAAAGGAGGCATTGTAGCAGAAGTTCTGAAAAACAGACTTTCAAGATCTCTGAGGAAAACGTACTACTCGTTTGAACTTCGCATTATATTTTTTAGTCGGCCTATGATCCGGAGTTATGTTGAAGATAAGCGCCCGCTTTGGACCAAATCAATGTGCATCTATCAGTTTAGTTGCTCACGTGGATCAGGTTATATTGACCTCACAAAGCGAACTCTTTCAAAACGCATCTCCGAACATTATCCTACTTGGCTAACCAAATGATTACAGAAGAGTTATTGATTGAGACCGAGAAAGACTGGCATATGCAAATCAACAGATGTACAAGGAGCTTGAAATAGGGGCAAATATTAGGTGTAATAAAACAACCTAGCAGTAGGAAAGTGATGGATGATTCCCGTAGGAGGTTAAGGTTTGAAAAAAAGGAAGTTCAGATTTACAAAAACGAAAATAACCAGTATGTATATAGCCTTCTGGATGTTCAACATCCTCAACAGTTACATCGTGAAGAAAAGCTTACTCGACAACATAAACTAATACCAAAGAATAAACAATACAATATCGCAAATGATTGCTATCCATTGTTATTGATAGGTCTACAAACATCTACTCAAAACATTAAGCAATATGCAATTAGATAAATAGGTGTTTTTTCTAGTACAGTGTTCAAGCACAATTATGTGTATCCTGCAAAACATATAAAATCGCATGTGCACTAATCATGATTAGAAGTGAAAATAAAATCGGCAGGTATGTTACTATTAAATCAAACAGAATTCATGTTAAAAATTACCAAAGCCTGTATAAATCAATGTTTTCTATCTAAGAGAATTTATGATTATTGTAATAAATAAAGTAAAAATCCAAACAATATGAAACGAGGATTACAGAACTCCACAACAATATGACAATTCAAGTCCGAATAATAAGTCGAATATCCAAGATAAAATCACAGCTTTTTGAAACTTGAGTGCTGAAGGCACACTAATGTTAAGGACTCTAATTCTCCAAGTATAACGTCCTACGAAAAAACCAAACATAAAATCTCCACAATAGAATAAAGTGGTTTTGTCTATTAACTTCAGTATCAATGAATTCGATTTCTGATGCATTTGACACTGTATTCGTAAACCTAATATAATTTGATACACGTGGCGATTTTTGTAAATAATAAGCATTAAATTTAATCAATATACAATTGAATTAAGTTGGGTGTAAACCAATATTCTTTGGTTCATTACAATAAATCATTACAAGATTTATCATTTTGAGTAGCTGTGGTTAGGAGAGAAAAGAGTTTTTATATCCAATGTTGTAGCATCGTTATAGTTATCCCTCCTACATCGCAACACACTATCTACAACATTCTGGGTTGTGAACTTGAGAATGCTCATTAATAACGAACGTTTGTCCATCTACATACTTTTAAACACAAGTTTTAGTTTCGCTAAAATCACTATTAATTGAACTTAAGCCAACAACTTTTAGCAGTTCGTCCCAGTTTAACACTCACCTATGAATGAACCCCCTATTTAGAGGTCCATTCCTTAGTTAAAAAACCATGTTATTTGTTAGAGTTAATTGTTTAAAAACATCTGGAAAAATACTTGATTTTGAGAACATAAAAAAGAACGTGTTACCACAACTGTGGTTACTCTAAACAAAAAAGTTATACGTTTCTGACCAATAAATTTTTCTATTCACCGGATCAATGAATTAAGTAGAATCCTACAGAAATGTGCGTCAGAGACTTGATTCAGGTCTAAACACCATATCAGTACAGCAGATAGATAGAAGTTGAATAAAGGAATGAGAGTGCTGAAGCCAACAGTAATAAAAATCTAAAAGAAAGTTACGGGAAATGGGGAATTAAAGGTAGAATAATACAACACTTAAAGTTTGGAGAAGTAACAACAGATTAATCTGCACCGGTGAAAATCATTCCCAACAATGAACGAAAGTAGTTGTACAGACTACAAGGAGGAAGTCTATATTTCCCAATACGGTCAGGATCAGAGTAACTTCACAATGTGATCTGACCATTCTGTCATGCCAACTTGCTAATAATTGAACCAGTACAATACACCAAGGTAGATGAATGAGATCTACCTAATACATAACCCAATTGCTTTGGTTGATAAATGATCACAACCCTATAAACACATTTATTGACACCAAAGTTGTTCATGAACAAAGCTTTCAGTAACCAAAGTCAAAATTTAGAGTATTTGTAGATCATGGTGTAGTTAATGGACAGAAATTATTACTTATTATGAATATTTTAAACCAAAAATATAGAATAACTCACCCTTATCTAGTTTATTTTCTGGGAAAATAGAAAGATCAGGTGATTGAACTGATTTTAATCCCAGATCAGAACGTTTTGTCAAGCTATTCAAAGAAGTGATTTCATCGATTTGAGAATTCGGAGATCGATTAGCCGACGATAATGAAGAAACATACGGTGATGACGAAGAATTTCGACTATCGCGCTGATCGTGACATGATGATGAATGTAAACTTAGGTAATCATCAATAACTGGATAATTAAATGTTAACTTGTTATCATTTTCAATTGTTTTGCTTTTACGACGTACACTCTGTTTGACATTATCTGACTTTGATAATGAGTGAGATTCGCAAGGATCATCTAACAAATGTCGAATAACTTTACGAAATTGTTTCTCGTCTTCATTATTACCACAGGCTATTGGTCCACCTGAAGTTAATGACGCTAGTTGCGTATCAACATGAGATTCAACTAGACCTGCATTACTAGTATCATTCGATAGTGTGAAAATATCAAGAGGTGACTGATTGTCTTTATGTTGAACATGAGAACGCTTAAGTTCTGATTGTAAATGTGGTAATTCACATTGTTTTATTCTATGCACAACCATGGATCCATTAGTGATTTGGCGACTAATAGTTTCATTCTTTGATAAATAATTTTGTAAACTCAGCTTTCTTCCTTTAACAGAGATCAACTCTGAAGGAGAACTAGCTGTTACTTCAGGTAGAGATGCTGACTTTTTTGGTAAGCACCGGGAAGTACTCGAACGATGTTTTATGATAGTTGATGACCTCTTAGCTTTATGACTGACGTTACCATTTGTGTTATGTTGATTGTTATCGCTAGCATTTAATGTTAACTGGATTGAACCCTATAAAATTTTAAACAATATATGTAGATCGCAGAAAACGAAACAGCAAGGAATAAGTGCGAAGTGGTCAAGAGACATTGAAAATAAATCCATTGAGCTCAATATATAGTGCCGTGATAAACTGACAACAAGTAAAAACCTTTAAAAAACCGAAGTCAACTGAAGAACCTAAACACCCCAGTTTGCGATATACTGATCTGATAATCAGTGCTACTCGGTTACCACTAACAGATTATTATGTAATTGGTTTGAGGTCCCACTTTTTATATAAAGCTTAACGATACAACAGCTGCCCAACACGAAAGATATCAATCGGGGTTCAAACTTGCTACACAGTAGTTCATACGTTGTCCAAGGATTAAGTCTAACAGTCAACTCTTTATTGGTCAGAAAATTAGTGACTTGCAAGCCAATTTTCTCCAGTAGTATATGACATTTTATTTTCTTCATTTTGTGTCATTTTATTACATAAAAAAACCTATCCATCGAGTTAGTGACATTGTCGCTGGTTTCTAATAATACGGGGCCCATGTCAATTGTGCTGTAGCCATCACTCTGTTACACTATATCATTGCGTCCATCTATCGATTATCATTCTACTCATTGATATTAACAATCGAAATTCATCTGATCAAGTTGAAGAAAACTCTCCTCCATGACACCGCCCCAGATGGTTATGTTTATATCTATCCAACTAGATATTGTATGGCATTGCTTTTGTCGATAATTGTTGGGGATGTTAGATCCCCAGAACTCACTTGGTAAATGCCTTATCTTCGTAATTCTATTTTTAAAAATTGAATTCCTTGTTTTAGCGCCAAAAGTACCTATTTTCACCTTCATGTTGTATTTCCCACTTGGGAGGACCTTAAATGTTATTGGTTCGTTGTCTCTTTTAGTATACTATTTTGTACCGTTTCCCAAAGACCTTTTTGTGCTGTATATATACGTTTGCGTTGTGCTTATTGTTGTTCGTGCTTCTGACTGCTTGTGGAATGTACTTCCCTCTTCCGAACTTGGACTTCTCTCTCTAGTTAGCGGGCTGCGATGCCTCGGAATAGCTAACTTATTGGTCATTGTGTCACAAATTCTCCGTTTCGTTCTCAGGTTAGGTGAACTCGTAATCTTTTCAAACATAGCAGTAACAGTGCAAAAAATTACATCGTTTATCAATTAACTGATTCGAACGTTTTAGTTGTCAAGTATTTATCTCAAAAGATAGTCGTATCACTTGTACTTTTTGATAATTCGAATGCAATTCTTTCTCGTTTATTTGCACTCGATTTTTAACGGTTGGGCTGTAGGCTGAGACCTCACCCTATTTACGTTAATAAATACTATTGGCTTGTTTCGACATCTATAAATGTGTCTCCAGCCCTAGTTCACGGGCTTGAAATCAGTTGAGTTGTTAAAATTCAAGTGACCCAAGTGTTCAGATCGCCACCTGGCGACCTCCCTCTGCATCTCAAGCGTGGACTCGGATTGACCACATCGCGATCAGCTACCGCTGCCCTGGTTGTGTACAAGACTACTGCTCCTTTTGGAGTACCTATCTGGACTCTGGTCATGCCCTGTTCTGCACCAATCTTACCTTAATTTTCAGTGGCCAACGAAGTGACCACCACCCAAAGATTGATGTTAGCAAGCTGGTTTCAACTTCTGTTGCAAGTAAGTATCGAATCGAGCTAGCTTCTAGGCTAGCTACCATTCCACCGAAAAGTATAGATGAGCATTGGTTGCAACTGCGTGATGCCATGAAAATGGCGGGTACAGTCAGTTGTGGGTTTGCGAAACGTCCCGCTTATAAGCACTGGGTTTCTTCAGGCTCCTTACAACTCATTGAAGCCCGTCGGTCTACTCCGGGTGACCGTGAGTTTGACCACAAACGAAGGCTGTTACGTGATGAAATCGGGCAAAGCTTGCGTAAGGACCGAGAAGCCTGGTGGTCGGTGCGTGCTAATGAGCTGGAAGCAGCAGCTGCATCTGGTAACTACCGGAAGCTCTTCCAACTCATCCGAGCCACTGGCAGCAAGAAGTCTGGTGTGAGCGAAACAATCTGCGAGGATGACGGGATGCCAATCACTAGCATCCACCGACGTCTTGTACGATGGGCAGAATTCTTAGAAGGGCAGTTCAACTGGCCTGCTGCTCCGGCAACATCGGTCAGACTGTCCTGCCCTCCATGGCAGGTGACGACTGACCCACCAAATGAGGCGGGAGTCCGCAAGGAACTCCAACTCTTGAAACGCTACAAGTTTATTAACATAATAAAAGCCCTACATAAAAACACCTCAGGCAGAGTATGATGGTTCAGAAGATTAAATACTAATAAATTTCAAACTTATGTAAATACTTCACCCTAATAAAAAAAATAAAAATACTAATCTTTATCTACATAGAAATAGTACCCCACTGTACTATAGTGACTCTTAAAAACAGAAGTCCCACAAATAGAACATTGCGCTGAAACGTTAGCTCAATAAACATGAAGTTCATAGAATTTTAGTTGATACTAAAATCAAGGATACAACAATGTTTCGTATTATAAAGTGATCACGATTTAGTCGAAATCTGTTCTAAAATGTACTGATTTTCATCAAACTTAAAATGCTCGAAATCATTTCCATTTTGTGAATGTGTGCCAAAACATTTTTAAACGTGTGAGTTCCAAACAGCGTACAAGAGGGAGAACTTAGAGAACATCTGATGATACTTACTTCTCGCATAGTTGCCTCAGAAATTACACGACCCTTACGATCGCGACGAACGGTCCGATTTTCATTCTATTTATAATTTGCAAGAATTCAGAGAAGAAACAAAGAAAAGTGCATTCATAAACTGAAATTTAACAAATAAGGTAAACATAAAAATATACTCAAGGTTTATTTGAATATATTATTATGTAGGGCGAATTCGACGTGTGAGGTCCTCAATTTTTTATGATCACCTATTATTTAATATTGGATGAGACTTTGGTTTTAGAAGTGAGAGATTATGATTTTGGGTTTGATTGGGGATGACATCGATCAGGATAATGAGGTAATTTGGCTTTCAGTGAATGAGTCAAACATAAAACGGTGCTCTGTTAACCGTAGTTTGGGTACCCAGATAACACTTGAATAGACACAATATCTATATTTTGTTGTTCGTTCCTTTCTTCCGCAATAACAAATAACGCAACATACCAATAATAGGTTTATGTACTCGGCTTTGAGGTACGCTTTTGTGTGAAGAATAAAAATGGTACTCGGCCCCCAAAACCGAAATAGGTGGGACAGGGTATTAACCAGCAACCTAATGATTGTAAACCGAGTGTTTTAACCATTATGCCACTACTCTAACCTTCTATGAAGTGTGATAATGTGAAGTAAATCCTATCTGACCCATCGATACCTTATACTCTATATTGCATGCAAACATTTTGTGGTAAACTAGCAGTGTGGCGCATATATATTCGGTGCCCCCTTGTACAGATATTTATGTATTCAAATAAATAATAAATAAAACTAGCAAGTAATTAAGTAATGTAAATTAACTCATTTACCAGGTTCTTGGGTATGAACCATACTTTAAGTGTAGAGGCTAATCATACTACCCAGTCACCTGAACCTAAGTAGGTGAAGCAAGGGTTGAACCTGAGACTTATTGTTTGAAAGTCGAACGCCTTAACCAATGAGCCGTCTTTCCTAAGAATTACTGAGTCCTAAACTGTTCGAATGGCTAGTAATATTCTTACTGGCTTTTCATGCTATACATACAATATAGTGCCGATTTTACCACTCAAAAGAACTAGGAAATATTTTTTTATTTCATTTTACTTCATAAATACGAGAAACTCCCGATTATACAGACGGTTGAATCCACAATTTTTACTTTGATTTGGATCCATACTACATCGAACTAAACTTCTTCGTGATAAGGAATTTTTAAACAGTAAAATTAGTCTGTAGCTATTTTTTGAAAGACCAACTTAACCAAATTTAGATTGCTAAGTAAATTGAATGCAGAGTGAATTAGGACAATCGAAAGAAATTTAAGCAATTTGAGATGATGCCCAAAACGCCATTTAACCTAATTAGAGGATACAAATGACAAATTTGATCGATTTTGCTGCGTGAGTTTTGAGTTGCCATATTGGTCTATCAGCATTATCCAAAAAGCCATCGAGGTACAACACCCTTAGTGAAAATGTGGTTAATGTTCCGTCCAAAGTAGCTCTTTGAAGTATTTGTTAAAACAATTGAGTGATAAGACAGTCTGAGATTTTTTCAAACCCACACAACTTTGTAGAAAGAACCAGTTATCCAGTAATGTTCAATTTTTACTACGATTACAAAGTATAAATTTCGTAAATCATAAGATTGTTAGCGCAAACAGATCCAAACCTTGGACCTCTGAAAATAAACAGATTAACATACTTTAGATTTCGGATTTTTTAAACGAGCAAAATATTGTTCTAACTAAAATCAAATCAAAAGTAGAACAATTGTTATCCAAACGGTAAAAATCATAATGAAAACTCAAATACAACATAGGTTTCAGAAAATATATCAAATAGGTTGGATAGACTTTAAGAAACTAATGTTATTATAATTGTAGACTAAACGATTGCAAATGAGAGCGGTTTGTATGAAATCAACTATCTACAGATGTAAGTAAACTATAGTAGGTGTGTACACTAGAACTGTAAATGAAAATATGGTAAATAATACTAGCTTTCAAATAGATAAATCGACCTGGCTAGGTAAGTGAAGACATTTCAGCTATTAGGCGTATATCTTCAGTCAGTCAGTCAGTAACAACGTAGAACTTCGTACGTACGTACATCAGTTCGAGTTGCCACACCACATTAGCACAGAGATGCAGTTGTCGATTCAAATCCCGTAGTGGTAGAGGTAATAAGAGTATAAGCAGTAATCGGGAAGATTAGGGTTTGGAGATGTTATTTAAAGAGTATAATCCAGTGAAAAAAATTTGGAAAGAGGAAAAAAGGGACATGAAGAATTCAGAAGATTAGAATTTGGGAGAACACAGAGAGTGGATGCACCTGCGCCATTGCAAACGATTTTGAGCCATGTCATTCAGGGTCTCTAACCATCGGTTGCTATCATCTCGCGGTCCCCAACCAGGTAGTCTACACCTACCAACATGACTCAGTTCACTTGTCAGTGACTTCATGGACTTGTGCCATGTTTTGGTTTGGCCGCCCCTAGCTTTCTTCCAACCTACTCCTATACCACTGAACATAGCACGTCGAGGCAGTCGGTCGTTGGGCATACGTAACACGTGTCCCAGCCATCTCAACTGATGAAGTTTCACTACTTCATCAATTGATTTGCCATCCTTACCTAGTACCCGTTTCCTAACAACTGTTACTTACTCGATGGTCCCATGATATACGAGCAATGTTTCGAAGACACCTATGATCAAATACTAGTAACCTACGAATATCCTCTACTCTTACCGGCCATGTTTCACTGCCATAAAGTAGGACGGAACGAACTGCTGCGCAGTAAACACGTCCTTTGGTTGATAGACGGATATCTCGCCTACGCCATAAATGACGCAAGTTGGCAAAAGCTAGTCGAGCCTTCTGTATCCGTGCTGAGATTTCGTCACACACCATACCACAAGGGCTGATGAGACTTCCAAGATAAGTGAAGCGGTCGACACACTCAACTACTTCACTCCCTATCACTAGTTCGGGTGTCGATGTAACCCAATCCTGAAGCAACATTTTGCATTTCGAGGGAGAGAATCGCATCCCGAACATGCTTGCATTGTTGCTTAGAGTGGTCAGAAGACTCTGCATTTTGTCAGCGTCTTCACCAAATAAAACTATGTCATCAGCATATTCTAAGTCAACAAGTGAACCTCCCGGTAGAAGTTCAACCCCTGTAAATTTAGATGAGGAGAGTGTTATCTCTAAAAGTACGTCGACCACAAAGTTGAACAAGAATGGGGAGAGTGGACAGCCCTGACGAACACCACTTGAGGTAATCAATTCTGATGACAGTTCGCCATAAGCTCTCACTCGACCAGTTGTGTTCGAGTAGAGAGCCTTTATAAGGTTAATGTACTTCTTTGGTACTCCTTTCAGTGACAAACACTGCCATAGAACCTCACGATCAACAGAGTCGAATGCCGCCTTAAGGTCGAGAAATACTACCATTGTGGGGCGTCTGAATGTGTGTCTGTGTTCTAGAACCTGACGTAGTGTGAATATCTGATCTATACAACCACGTCCAGGTCGAAAACCGGCCTGGTTTTCTCTAGTCTGCTCTTCACGAGCTTTGATTAGGCGTCGAAGTATTATTGAAGCTAATATTTTAGACACTATATTAGTCAAACTGATTCCTCTGTGATTGTCACAAGAGGACTTTTGTCCTTTCTTATAGACTGGCACAATCAGTGATTGAGACCAGTCAGATGGGATTACGTCCAGTTCCCAAATTCTACCTAAGACCTCGGTTAATCTCATTGCTAATACTGGACCACCATCCTTAAAAATCTCAGGAGTAAACCTGTCAGGGCCTGCTGCTCTCCCTCGTTTCAGATTTCCTATGGCTTTTTCAACTTCGTAAAGGGACGGAGGACCTACATTAACTTGCCATTCAGGTTGACTAGAGATCGTGGGAAACCGAAGTGTGGCTGAAGGCCAGTTGAACTGATCCCTAAAGTGTTCTGCCCATCGATCCAATCTCCTGGATTGAGAATGAATAATATGTCCATCTTTTTCTGAGATTGTTTCGCTAACGGTCGGGTTCCTAATTCCGGTTTCCTTAACGAGTCTGAACAATTGTCTGCTATTACCTATTGCCGCTGCCTTTTCCATCTCTCTTGCTTTCGCTACCCACCACTGTTCGCGATCATTGCGTAGACTTCTTGTCAGCTTGCGCTTAAGCTGACTCCGCTCTTCATTATGTTCAGAGGCAGGTGGAATGAGTTTCCGAGCATCTATCAGTGCGATAGATGCTGCTGAGCATTAAAGTCACCGGCCACTATTGCTACATCCGAGCGCTTAGCTTTTCGGAGAAGGTCAGAAAGCTTTCTGTAAAACTCATCATCATCTGAGCTGCAGTCAGTGGGAGAATAGGCAGAAACGACGGAGAGGCAACAACCTGTGTCCCTATCTTTCCGGATTCTTACTGTTCCGTTCAGTCGGACAGCGCACAAACGACTGTCTACTGGGATCCACTCTAAGAGAGCTAGTTCTGCCCTAGGACTCAATGCTATACCTACGCCGGCGAGGCCACGGGAAGCAGAATCAGGGCTCCCAGATACACGAAGAGTAAATCGAGTCGGTTCTTTATTTTGGCATGGTAAGGTCAAATGAATGACGCTACTTGGATCCTGTATGCGCGTTTCGGAGACGCAGCACACATCGATGGCGCGAGATTCTAAAGTTTTAGCTAAGGAAGCCTGTTGTCCTATTTGGCACAGTGTTCGGACGTTAAAAGCTCCTACGTGTAGTTTAGGGCGTGGTTTCAGGAGACCAGGAATAGCGTTCCGCGTACTCGAATCGTTTGCTCTAGCGGTGCGAGATGATAAAGAGACGTGAGAAGGGTTAGTCACGGAGATAAGAGAGGTATTAGCAGGTGTAGGAAGGATTTGAATGTGACCACCTTGGTCTCTTGTGCTGTTACGGGTATGAGGGCTGATGTCACTTCCCGGCTGCCCACACCGTGGAAGGGTATTTCTTGAGGAACCTGAAAAGGAAATTGGATTAGTGTTGGTCTTGACGACCTGGGAGCGTGACCGCAGAGCCCAAGGGACAACTGCTTGAGGCCGGTCGCGCACGGCCTTTTTGTGGAAGGTTTTTGACGTGTTAGCTCCGTTCTTTAAAGGGCCTTACCGCCGGAGACGAAAATCCGTGAGGTAAGGTGAGGTGTGACATTTTTAGGGTCGACCTTTTCTAACCCCACCCCTCCTTGTGGGAAGGCAGCATCTCTGTCATGCTGGTTGTCCGAAGGAAACACCTTACTGCTGTCACACCCCTCTACAGTCAGCAGTACGACTTCGCCCTCAGACCTTGAGTTGCTGCTTTTAGTCTTACCGTTCACCAATCGACCTGCCTGGCATGGTAGAACCTACAGGAACATATGTTCCAGCCAATATAGCTCGGTTGGGTCATCACGATAGGCAAGCCCGACCACCGCGTCAAGGTAGCAGCTTCGATCGGGAGGCGTATATCTTAGAAAGGTAAATACGGCGTATCGTGTGTTGCTTTTTCCAACCTAACATTACAATCAAATAACTTGGATATTAGTGATCTTACAAAAATGAATCTATTGGACTGACAACTAAATTCCCTTGATAAGCATGACGCCGCTTTCTTTACAACCAAACCGTTTGTGGTTTACTGCAAAGTGGAGACTGATATCAACTTAAATGAGTTTACTTAGAAAGAACGGCTAACTGAATCAGTAATTTCTCCCACAAAACAACGAATATTAGGGCACTTTGGACATATACAGACTAGAAAATTACTCAAGAGTAGACTTACCAGCGAACGATCAATTGTATGAACATAATAGCTAAATGGTTTGTCAGTCCATGAAACTGCATCTTGGATTGGGTTTAAACAGCTCACACGCATGATCGATCCAATATCTAATAGAATTATATATATATATATATATATATATATATATATATATAGCGTAAGCGAACCATGAAAAGATTGCTTCTTAGCTTTGAGTATAATCAAAAGTAATAGACTTGAGAAAATGTGCTAGCATAAATGGAATTTCAAAAAGGAAGACGCCATACAAAGCAATGATACACATATGATTGGCTAATATTAAGTAATAACCCTATATAATATAGGTCAACAGCTAGAAACTGTCTAAACCGTTAACCTAAAACTCATGTACGCTACAGATTCGGAAATATCACTCTTAAGAAGAGTGAAGATTAGACCGCAAACCTTAGAAATTAGAATACAGAATGCCTGTAAACAAAAACAACTTCCAATTATATTTCATAGTGGTAGAGTATAAAACGTATTTAGATATGTCACAGTGGTGTTAACTTAAAGGCAAAAAATCAAGGTGAAACTTTGGAGGTAGTATAATAAACAATCGTTAAGAGACCTTCGTATTCGGAATTTTCACCTACTTTCGTTGGGGAAACCACGTGGTATTATTAACAGCCTACAAATCTAAAGTGTAGCTCGATGCAAAGTACAAGAAGCTGAACTTGGATAACGTCCAATTTAAATAGATGGTTTAGATAGTTGAGCAAATAAACCATTTCTGGTAACCGGTAAAGATAACTAGTAGTCTACAATTCAGCAATGAATACATCACACAGATTGATATTATATAAATTAGTCGATTAGTCTAGTATGAAGCTCTATTTTGCTTATGAGTAACTAAATGAGTTTTATGTGGAGAACGAGAAAATTGACTTACGGATATAAATCTACAAAGATGGGTTACGACTATATTTTCTAAAGATTAGCATTACTCTTAGAATTCTTAACGCCTCATATTCTTTCCACATATTTGTGCAACATTTCGGTAAAAAAAAATGTATGTCTAAGTGTTTCGTCACATTCGAGGCTAACTGTAACACCACTCTAAAACTGCAACACTGTTTATTGAAAACTATCTACCAATGTTATAGCTAATCTGCCAGATGTCGTTCGCTCTTTTATTTCATCCAGACCATTATTTTTTAATTTCGATTTTTCCTTATCTCTACTTCACTGACGACAATGAAGCGACATAACTGAATCATTTGAAGCTATCAAAAATTTATATAAGCACATGAACTTGAAATCATCTAATTGTGACAAATCAACAGTATACATATATCAGTCTACGTAGCGTTTTCGGCAAAAAAATATCCACATCGTATTTCAGACAGTAATACCATAAAGCTGTTTTTCACCAATAGTTTGTCTGATTTTAACGTTTATAGATACATCACTACCTTTTAAACTACATTCCACTACAAATAAAAGAATCTCACCTTTAGGATAAGTAGAAATGGTCAGCTTGAGAAACACGACATCATACTAACGAGTCCTTTATGCTGTATTAACCTTGCTGAAAATATCAATAACAAATTACGAAGACAATCTACATCGGCTACTTGAATCAGACACACGTTGAAAATTACTGATATGACTCTTAAATAAGATTTACCTTTGTGTAAAATAAATCATTTCGAGAGTGTGACGTTACAGAATTTAGTCTATGAGCAACATTTATCAGCATACAATAAAAATCATCCGAAAACTCCAGAGAATGTGTGAAACAAGCTACAAAAAAACCGTACCTCCGAGATTCCTATCAGTGATTCTGAAATTTAAAGGACAGAAAGCCTTTGAAGAGATTATCCGAGCACCTTCTTTAAGGTTAGCGAACCTTTGCTTCAGCTGGTGATCCACCTCTGGACCAAAGGCAAAGTTGTTTGCAAAAAGGACGCCAGCATTTGTTATTTTCTCTTGGTACTCCGCTGATAGAAAATCTCCGCGTTCCAACTGAGAACAAAATAACGAAAAATGTGAGAGATCAACTTGTATTTCCCTCTGTGCACAAAGAGATCAAAAACCACAAAGAAATCGACTTTTCTGGGTTTGAATTGAGGTACTGAAGCAATTGAAAACATTGATAAAAATATAGAATTTTAAGGAAAGTTCGCCAAAGAGTTTCTGGGACAGTTTAAGCAAAACACGGTGCATAAAATTTAGTTACCGTGTAGGGTCGATAAGACTTTCCGTAAAAGCTCATCCAGTGACGGAAAGTTGAGTCAAGACGCGATGCGCAATTAGCGGGATATTCAGCCTTTTCAATTCCGTAGCAAAATTTCGCATCAGTAGAGGCACATACTTGAAGGACAACTTGACCAACACCTAATTTGATGGATAAATTATCACTCTAGCTTACCACTCCCAAGATCGATAAATACGTCGTCACTAGTAACTGCGATCGTGTCGATCATCTGTGAAATAAGTTCGAAGGAAGTCTCCCCATACACTTGAGGCGAAAAAGGTGGATATTGATTCAGTTTATCCGGATCTGATACAGCTCGATTATAACACTGAAGAAGAATGAACTGAACATGACCACGGGAAGCTTTTCGGTTGAAAAATTCAGGAACAGTATTTTCCTCAATCCACTACGGAATCGAAAATAAGATAAGGATCATACCGTGTCCCAAAGATCTATGATAGCTTTATTGTACACATCACAAAGTTTCGATACATCATCATAGGAGCTCCTGTCCGTTTCTTTGAGAAGCCCAACCAGTGCTGGATTTTCGGACATTTCTTTGACATCAGACACTACCCAACTGATAACGTCAACAATTTCTGAGTTCTCATCCTTGATTTCCCCTGGCTAGAAAAGGAAATATGTTGGAATTAGATTAAGAAATGTCATGACATTCAGTTTCATGAATAGAAAATTAAAGTACCCTGCAGGGGATCCATTTGAAGACTTCCTTATCCCTGGTGGCTGGACTAATGACAGACAGCTGACGATCTCCAAACATAGAATATACTTGTCGCACTAACAAGTAAACGGACAAGTAATTAGCATTGTAAACTAAGCCGTCAGTCAAACATTGCGGCACTAATAAGAGCGTATTAAAACTGTAAAAAACACCATAACAACATTAATTAACTTAACCTTGCAGAATTATATCATTTTCTAGGAAACTGTCAGATTAATTTTGTGAAGATTATTTTCAACAAAGACGGTTACCAAATTTCATAACCTCAATCACGTTCGAGAAAGATATTTAGAGACGTTTAACAAGTAAATGATCAAAAATTGGAACCTAACACTTATGTGCATCGATCCAACTCTTCATACTCCATTAGCACAGTGCGACGACACTGTCAAGAGAAATCGTGGAATAGTGAAGGTAGTAACAATTTCAGTGATAATAGGAAAGTGTAGGCATCGAAGATACGACTCGAAAAGAAAATATAAATTGGTGAAAAAAATGAGTTAAGCCATGAAGGATGTAGAATCTCATAGACTTGAGTAAGAAAATGAATAGACACACCTGAGTCATTGCAAGAGATCTTCAACCATATCATTCAAAGTCCCTAACCATTGGTTACGATAATCACACGGACCCCAACAAGGTAGTTTGTACTTATTAATATGGCTAGGTTTAATCGTAAGTGACGTCACGGAATGGTTCCGTGTTTTGATCTGGCCGTCAATAGCCTCCTCCCACCTGGTTTTTGCACCAGCCAACATTGTGCATGGAGGTAGGCTGTGGATAGATATAGACAGCATATGTCCCAATTACCTCAGTTGATGAAGATTTACTGTTTCTTCAGCTGATTTATCATGCTCATTTGGTACCTTTTCCCACACCCACCCCCTTCTTACTCGTTGACTTTAAAATGCTTGAGCAACACTTTCGAAACACTTGTAGTGACTCACATTTATCACGAGAACACAACTGGTTTAATAGAAACAATTATTCTTATAACCAACTGTACCAGTGCTTGTTTTAATGTGCTTTTGTTTGACTGTGCTAATGACAGCTATTTCGTGCTTCCATTCTTATACTTACACTTCGATTGTAACTTCGCGCGAATTCGGTTACCTTCTGTAACCAAGGTTGTATCCTGGCACGATCTCGGTATCCTTTCGATGCCACGAGATCGCCAGCAAATATACACCTCGACTTGGTCCATTAACTGCCTTCTGATATTTGGCTTCTCGGGATTTTATGGATCTATTTGGTACGTCCAACCCTCGCCTTCTGATTTATCTGGCACGTGTTTCTTGGTAGCGGTGTTCATAGTTAATCTCAACTCGACGCCACGCTACATTGGTGACCCGTATTTTGGAACACGCCTCAACTTCTGATCAAATCTTCCAAAGAAGCCAATTCGGTGAGTCTATGATTTATCTATCCACGTCTGTCGTATATTTTCATATTTTTTAATATATAATATACTCGACATGACGGATAACGATAATAATAGTATTAATATAATAGACTCACATGTATGTGTACCGAATCCTTGTTACTTTTTATTCGCGTGACGATGAATTCCACGCTTTATTCGAGAAAGTTTCCCCTATTAACTATTCTCCTCGCTGACCCGGCTGCTTGGTACGGAATGCATACGCATAAGCATATCCGTCTACCACCCAGCACCAAATGGTTAAGTAAACGGTTTCACTGCCAACTTAAAAGTGCTCTACGAGCACACGAAAACGGCAACTGGCACGAAACCTTACCGCTCGTTCTTTTAGGGATCAGAACGAGCTTAAAGGCAGATATCCAATGTTCCGCCCTGAACTTGTATACGGCACGACATTGCGTCTGCCCGGAGAATTCTTCACACCACGGAGCAGACCTAATTTCGGTAAATCAGACTACGTCCATCGACTGTCTGCATTTATGCGAACGCTGTCTCCGGTGTCAACTCGAATACAACATCGACAGGTCGCTCTCCCTCGAGAGTTATCTACCTGTTCACATGTTTTTGTACGAGTAGATTCGGTACGCAAACCTTGGCAACAACCTTACGAAGGCCCTTTTCACGTGATCGCTCGTCACGAAAAGACCTTCAAGGTTGATCGATATGGACGCGTCGAGATCGTCAGCATTGATCGTCTCAAACCAGCACACGTCGATGACAGTGCCCTATCTGATAACCTGAGATTCAATGCTAGACCTATCAAACCTAGCGGGATCCTTAAATCTTCTTCAGGTCCCACGCTAGATACATCTGAGACCTCATTCTCACGTCCCGGTCAACAGCACGCGTCATCTGCACCGTCTACGGACGAGACGACAGTCTCACGTCCAGATCAGCAGACCACGCCGCCTCTGACCTCGGATGAGATTGCAGGCTCACGCGACGCGAACGAGACTACCGTCTCACGTTCCGGTCGCCGAGTACGGTTACCCGTACGCTTCCGCGACTAGCCGCACAGTTAACAACCGATACGGTGTAGGATTATTCCTATACTACACGCATGCTACACTCTTCTCTTTTTTGATTTTCTTTTTGTTTCCTGAGCCCACGCCTTCGACCATCTCCGTTTGGTTCCGTCGACTTCAGTCAACTTTGGCGAAAGCTGGACTGGCCACCCACGCTCTTGTCAACGCACTCAGTCGATATTTTGGTTTCGAATGCTTGGCATACGCTTGGTCTCGAACTTGGTCGTTTTGGTCGCTTCTGGTTCATTGGCTCAACGTGGTTTCGTCCTACGTCTGCAGCGTTTCTGGTCCACACCCTACGAACGCCCTCTTCAGATTCTGGATACAAACCACTCTCGTGTAGCATGCCAACTCAAGCAACAAATACAGCACATCGCTCCTGGTACCGTTCTCCGAAAACGACCTTCGTTGGCAACTCGACGATCAACGATCGCTTTCCTGTTCGCCAATTCTTCCGTCCTACAATCGCTCGTCAGCCGATCAGTCCCACGATTCAAACCGCTATTTATCGAAAGTGTAAACCCTTTCTAGCGGGGGGCTCCTGTAGTGACTCACATTTATCACGAGAACACGACTGGTTTAATAGAAACAATTATTATTATAACCAACTGTACCAGTGCTTGTTTTAATGTGCTTTTGTTTGACTGTGCTAATGACAGCTATTTCGTGCTTCCATTCTTATACTTACACTTCGATTGTAACTTCGCGCGAATTCGGTTACCTTCTGTAACCAAGGTTGTATCCTGGCACGATCTCGGTATCCTTTCGATGCCACGAGATCGCCAGCAAATATACACCTCGACTTGGTCCATTAATTGCCTTCTGGTATTCGGCTTCTCGGGGATTTTATGGAGTCATTTGGAACGAGCTTCTTACGCCTTCTGATCTATTTGGCACGTGTTTCTTGGTAGCGGTGTTCATAGTTAATCACAACTCGACGCCACGCTACACACTCATAACCGAATACTGGTAATCTGCGAATATCCTGTATTATTAATGGCCATGTTTCATACCCATAAAGTACGATGGAGCGAACTACGGAACAGCAAACTTGTTGTTGGATAGCTCGCACACACCAGAAAGAACTAAATTTGTCAGAAGCCAGTCGAGTCCTTTAAGTGCGTGTCAAAATCTCGTCAGACATCAGACCATCAGGACTGGTGAGACTCCCAGAATAAGTGAGGCAATCGACACACTCAACTACTTTACTCCCTATCGTCAAGTGAAGCACTGATGCAATCCAATCTCGAAGCAACATTTTGCATACGGAGTGCGAGAATCGCGTCCCAAGCGTGTTTGCCTTGTTACTACAGGTGATCAAAAGACTCTGTATTAGTCAGCGTCGTCACCAAACAGAACCATATCATCTGCGTTTTGTAAGTCAAGTGAATCTTCTGATGAAAGGCCAATCTCTGAAAAGTCAGTTGACTATGGTGTTATCCCCAAAAGCATGCCAATAGCAAAGTTGAATGAAAGTGTGAAATGCGTAGGTGTATCTGAAAGCCAGTTGAACTGTTTTGAAGTATTGTGTTTATTGATTCAACCTCCTGGATTGAGAGCGAGTAAAAGTTTCATCATTTTCCCCGATAATTTCACTAACGGAACAACTTTTAGTTTACGTTTCCTTGATAAGTCTGAACAGTTGTCTAGCTTTACCTATCGCTGCTACCAGTTCAACAGTCATCACTGAAATCTATTGACTTTTCACAACATCTTGGTCTCAGTTACTGGTAGATACCGCCACTGTTTCCATAGCTTTTTGGATATCACGTCGAGCTACCTTGGGATGGATATCACTTTCACGGTTGGTTAATTTCTACCTGGAATATGTTCTTGACTTTTGCATCATCAAGTTAAACTTTGAGTGGTTTTCTTGCTAATGGCTCTTCTACGTACATTAAGATGCAAATAAAATGCTCCGGAATTGGCAACAGCCTTTTATCGAGCTTCTTCAACCATGGCTGAAGGTAATGTGGGCTATTGAAGTCCATCGTTGAGTCGACTATATAGACCGCCACTTCTGACGATACTTTTACTCATGCCTAAAGTTTGTGCTTGTCGAGAAGACGTTTACCTAGGCACAATGACAGCACATGGTCACTATCGTTTGATTGCTGGGACGCGACATAGAAAGTGCCCTTCAGTTTGATTTAGTTGACCCATTTGGGAATGAAATTACCCGTCACTATTACCATATCCGAGCGTCTAACTTTTTAAATGAGTCTGAAAAGCTTCCCATACGATTCGTCCTTTACTTCATCCGAGCTGCGATTAGTTGAATCTTAGGCAGAGACAACGAAGACAGCGTAACATCACCTTATCTTTCCGATTTCTGAATATCCTGTTTAGTCGGGCAGACCACCAACAACTGTTTATAAGAACCCAGTCTAGCAGAGTACCTTCTGCTTTTGGACTCAACGCTATAAGTTTACCAGCAAGGCTATGGGAAGTGGCAGGGTGGTCTCCACATGCTCGAAGGGCGGAGTGTATCATTTCTTCACACTGAAAAAGAAACATGAAATGAATAATCGCACTTCATTCTGTCGGAGCGTTCTAGAAACACGACATACGTC